CAGAGACTTTGGATTTTAGTGTCCATGAATCCAGCCTGGATAAAAGCACTCTTCCTCCTTCAGTTCCTCTCAGTGAAGCTAATTCTGACCATAAAACACTAGCATGCTGCTAACGCTTGCTGATTGTGGTGCTAAGGTTTTAGGACAGGTGCCTGTTTCCACAGTTGAAGCCCAGCAGGAGCTCCAGGTGTGCAGGACAGGAGCAGCGGGGTGAAGGCGACGCTGTCAGGAGGCTGCTCGCTTCACGCCCCAAACCAAAATGGAGGACGCTGTAAAGCACCTCGCAGTGCTGTGACGTCTCTAACAAAAAGTGTTTACTGCAGGAGAAAACCTGTGAAACGTCTAAAGGTGGAACCATTTCTGCTGAGCTCGACAGCGCCCCCTATGGAGCAGGAAGTCCACAGAGAGGCGGGTCCCGAGTATTTAGAAGTTGTTCGATAAAACGTTTGATGATGAATGTTGCTGTGTGTTAACCGGGTCCCTTAATTGTAGGAAAACCCTAATGAGGATGTTTATTCTCACCGATGCGTTCACTAAACAAACTTTAAACTCAGAAAATCCCCGCAGGCTGTAAACGTCTCAAAGCCACAGGTTTGTGAATGTGCTGCTTTAAATCTGATGGACGAGGTCTGTTCTGTGTGCACAGGTGAAGGGCAGGGATAAGACTGCAGACAAAACAATCTCACACACACGCTGCAAAAAATGTCCTCATAAACCTGCTCAAAGGGCCAGGTCCCCACACTGAACGTAAACTGAAACAGCACTTTCTTTTAAATCACCTTTTATCCACATTTTGAACGACCGCCTGCTCGTTCAGACTCTCCTCGTGTCTTTACTCTGTTTCTTAAACTTTAAGTGTTAAGTTCAAACTAATGTTTGTTCCTGTTTTCTGGGTTTTTTCCAAAGGTGTCGCCGTGTTCACCTCTCTGAGCTATGAGAAGCAGGCATGCTGCAAAAACAACATCCAAACCCCAAAACAAGCAAACAGCAACACAGAAAGATTTTAGCAAAACTTTCCAAAGATACCAAATATACCAGGGTTTGTTTGTTTGATCTGGAGAGCTTTCACATGATGACACATTCAGAAGGAACGTCTCCGGTTTGTTCCTGACTACGAAAAGTGAAAACACAAACTGCTCATCAGAGAAGAAACACACATCGCACTTTTCCTTCAAATACGAACACGTTAAAGACCGAGTTGGACATCATTTAGAAACATAACTGACGAGGTGACGGAGAATCAGGGGTTTACACGGAGGCCCGGGTAGAAAAATCACCAAACAAAAAGCACAAGAAAATTATAAAAGGACGTCTTATTGTTATTCATGCAAATCTACGACTGAAAGGGAGAAATTCAAGAAAAAAATAAAGTCAAATATCTGAGGAAAAGATTGTGACATAAATATGTGAGATATTACACTAACACTGCTTATAATTCAAAACTGAGACAAAAATAGATTAAAAAATTCAGACGCAAAAGGTTTGATTTCAAAATCCAAAACTAAACCAATCAAATAACAAAACTATAGGATGACGAAAATGTCGACTCGCTGAACTAAAACTATGAGACAAGAAGTAAAAGTTTCATGTTTAAGACAAGAGTGAGAGCGAAACACTGACTGAAACGTTTACACTCTGACACATGAAGCTGGGATTTTAACCTCTAAAAGGTAAACCTGTTAGAGCAAAACTAGGAAACGAGGAGAAAAGAACTCAAAGAGCCGACAGAAACCAAACAGAAACAGAAATATTTGATGTAAAAGTCAAGACAAAGCTCTGCTTTTGGCCACAGGCTGAGCTTCTCGATTTTTTAATGGGAGACAAAATCATCTCGTCCTCTCTGGGTCAATGTCTGCAGCAGCACGTCATTTCTTACAGTGTGGAAACTCTGCGGTATGAAATCCACCAGAGTCCCAGACGAGTCCACATTCCCGTCCTCTGCACGCTTACACACACACACACACACACACACGCACACACACACGACCCTGAACCCAAACCTGAGCCCTCAAACAGCCTCTGAAGCGAGGGCCACAAACGGGTCCTGAGTCTAACAAGGTGCTCACAAAGACAGCTGTACACACACACACACACACACACACACACACCAGACTGTCTGGCTTAAGTTAACCCGGCCCCTTTCCTGTGTTTCAGACAAAACAAGCCAGCCTGCCCTTCCTCCTCCTCCTGCTGCTGTTTGGATGTGAGACCTGCGACGTTCTGCAGGATCCTGCAGTCACACCGACGCTGTAACGCGGTTCTAACCGCTTCCGTTTTATTGGTTATGCCTTTGAGGTTTGATCTCTCGGGTCTTCCTCGCTCACATGCCGACCCTCAGACTGAAACGGCGTCAGCTCAGGCCCACCGCCCTCGCACAGGCACGCGCTCCAGAGCTCGCTCATCAGGCGACGCTGCGGCGAATGGAGGCTGAGGTTTAACGAAGCAGCGCTCCGTGACAGGAGCCTGCTACAGGTGTGCGGCTCACCTGTGTGCCCCGCCCAGCCCTGCATCCTTAAAGCATATTCCCACCAACCTGAACTTATCACAGAAACATTTTAACAGGAGCATACACAGGATGACGGAGTGGGGATGGAGACAATGTCCTCAGGTGAACCACGTCTCCTTTTACGGTTCGTGGGGTGGGGACGTTTTGGTTTAAAGGGTCTGTGAATGTTTCAGAAGTCCCTGAGAAGGTGTCGCATGTTTTAGTGGGACTGTGGGGGGAGGGGGTGCGCTGTGGGCCGGATCAGCTGTTCCTGGTGTGAACCTGCTCAGCAGACTGAGGTGTGCTCTGTCCTCTGGTCTCATAATTACTGAGAGACTGGGGGACACACCCAGGTGCTGCTCACAGCTCCATCATCATCATCATCATTATTATTATATCAGCGGTGAGGAGCTCCTGGAGCGCCGACAGAGGACACAGGAAGGACAGGATCAGGTGCAGACCAGGTGAGGGGCGGAGCCTGAAGACTTTAAAGACTTTTTCTTTGAAGTCCTGTTATCTTTCTAACTCTGTCAGAATAAAATAAGGTGACTACTTCCTCTCTGAGCCTCAAGCCTTCCTGTGGGCCCTCTGTCGGGTTTTCACCGCCGTACCTGCAGCCGGCCGTCCAGCGTCCTCTGGATGGTGACACACTTGCTGGGGTGCACGCCGTTGGTGGTGACGGCGGTGATGAGCGAGTCCAGTTCGTCCTTCTTCTCCTTCAGCTTTTTCACCAGACTCTCGATGGCGCGCTTGGCAAAGCCCTCGTTCTCGCCGCCCTGCCGGTGGCACATCAGACTGTGGACGATGCTGAGGCAGGCGTCTGCGCTGCTGGGGGCGGGGCCGAGCACCGACATGGTCACCTGATAAAGTAAAACAGAATCTGCTCAGACGGCTCAACAATCAGATCCATAAAAAGACTTCCCCGGACAGATCTATGAGGGTGGGGCTTGTGTGCCCTCGGTGACATCACACAGACCCGTGATAAACGCTGAGGTCGTTGTCAGGTTTCACGTGAACCCACCAGCCAGAGGAACAGGAAATACATGACAGGAACACACAGACAGGTGGGACGCTCAGGTGTGCCCGTGGGCCAGGAACAGATCCTATAGCTGATCCACAGGTGACCTCATACGGTCCCTGAGCACAGATACAGAGCAGGGGCTGATATTGATCGTATTGTCAGTGATCAGAAGTACTCCTGTCCCCCCGCACACGTCACTTCCCTCTCAGACAGACAGAGAGGTGAGGAGGAGACAGGATCACCACACATGCACATCCTCGTCTCACTACTGATTCCTTTCATTTTTTCATTAAACTGTAAGCAACATGACGTCGTGACCGTGGCTTTATGACGTCATCAGATGCTGACGATGCCTGACGCTCACTGGCTGACCCGACTGCTGCATCAACAGTTGTTCACAGAAGAATTACAAAAGCTCTCAGCGGGCTCCTGCGGCGCACTCACCGGGCTCGGCGCTCTCCGCTCGGCTATGATCCGCTGCCGGGTCCGTGAGGCCGGAGGTTCGTCCGTCGGCGCGTCCGCGTGCGACTCCGTCTGCATCCAGACTGTCTGCACGCTCACCGGGGGGAGGAGGAGGTGGGGGCTATGTCATGCTCCCCCGACGGCCAGACATAACAGGAAGTCTGGCGACCTCTGGGGCCTTCCAAAATAAGAGCACAGAGACAAAACTGAGCGTTGTTAAGATGTGGAGCGTTTACCTGCGGTTTACCTGTTTGTGCTTCCTGCCTGCACACCTGCCACCTGTCATCGATGTCACTGTAATGTTGCCTGTGTGCGTTGTCTGAGTTCACTGCACAGTCAATTTAAGTTTTATACAATGATAATTACAGTTTGCCTTATTTTTCTGCGTCGTTTGATTTTTGTTCTTTTTAAAATGTATGTTATTTTATTTTTTATGTTATTGAAAAGTGGCTATTCGGTTATTCACCTGTAATCGTGCTTTCGCTGTCTAGTTTTAGTTATTTGTCCCGTTCTAAAGTTTTCCTTTCTTTTAGTTGACCTAGTTTTACTTCATTGTGAACCTAAATTCATTCTCACGTCACAAAGAAAAGCATCAAATCTCGTTAGGGCAAGCTTACTCATTAAGGCTTGAAAATGATTAAAATGATTAACAGAAATATAGTAAGACTTATTAGAGATGTTTCCTGGGTTAAAGAAACGTTTTAAAACTCAACTCAACTAAAATATTTCCAAAATGCAGCTTCAAAAACTCTCCTTTCACTCATTTTCCCGCATTTCCGCACCAGTTACTGCAGCTTTTATTTTGTGATACTGCCGGAAACACGCTTTGCCTTGTCAGAAAGTTTGTGCGCGTGACTTCAGCCGTGAGAGAGCCAATCACAGCCCTCCTGTGTGTGTGTGTGTGTGTGTGTGTGTGTGTGTGTGTGTGTGTGTGTGTGTGTGTGTGTGTGTGTTTGGCGCCATCTGGTGGCGAAAGTCGAGGAAACACATATCAAATCAAATCACTTTTATTGTCACTCACATGTGCAGGTACATTGGTACAGCACATGTGAGTGAAATTCTTGTGTGCGAGCTTCACAAGCAACAGAGTTGTGCCAAATACAACTCGTATATATAAACACATTTCTCGTGTTTGAAAGAAACATTGAAGCTGCAGAATAAAAACAGCTGACCTTTATGATGAAACAAAAAGGGACAGAGTGACATTTGTCTGCACTCAGGCCCTACAATAAATAAAGACACAAAAACAAGAGTGTGTTCCTCTCGTTAATCTAAAACTCTGCAGCTGCTGCACACACTCTTTCACAATAAAACGTCCTCTTCCTCTTTCAGGCCAACTCTTGGCTTTCCGACCGTCTGCCATGGAAACCTCTGCGGTTTCAGTCCCAGACTGACCGGTCCTGCACCGAGGACGGCAGCTCAGTCAAGCTCCCACAGGGAGAACGCCCTCACCGAGCAGGCCGAGGCCTCCAGTCTGTGGACGTCTTTGGGGACCAGCATCCACAACTGAAGCCATGAGCGGTCAGTGATGCCGCTTTAATAGAAAACCAAAGTCCCAGCCTCAAATGTCTCCTATTTTCTAATGTTTTATTTATATAGTAAAAAGAATATGAAGGCAATTTTGAAAAACCCACCCCACCCACCAAGCCTGATGTTTTACTCATGACCACCTTTCCAGTCTTTAATTTAATTAGGATGTTTGTTTTTAACCTTTGATTTGTAGATTTTTCTTTAACTTTATTTTCTCCTTTAAACCACGACTCGATGTTTTGGTTCACACGTAGAAATATCTGGATGACTCGCTCACCTTCAAACCACATGAAGAGAATCTCGTAAAAACACTGAAGTTAATACTGCGATTTTATTTTCAAAATAAGTCGCGTTTTTCTTGAATACAAAGAAGCAGTTTGTTGCTGCAACGTTTTTATCTGTGCTGGAGACAGATAGAAATGTCTCTTCTATATATGAATGCTTCGTGTTGATACTGTGTGTCGTGCTTCTCTGAGGTTCATCACTAACAGTAAATCTCAGACTCACCACTGTGAGTTCTACGGCCTGCTTTGGCCATTAGGAGGAACTCTCATTTATACAGTTTTACATATAAGGCAATAATCGGATTGCTGCCTTCGTATGTTCAATGCTTGCAGTGAAACATGCTGGTCGTGTCCTCTTCGTCCGCCTGAACTGAACTTGGCCAAAGAGATTTTGACCATAGCCCCCTCGGCTTGGAACGGACTGCAGGAAACGACTCTCATCAAGTGGTTTGAAATCTAAACTAAGAATCCTTGAGGCCAAGTCCACAACATGCAACTGTTTCAATTAGTTTGTCATTTTAACTGAATTTTATTGAATTATATTGTTTTTTTTGTAAATTTTATTTATTTTTGCATGCGTGTTTTTGCTGCCCGAGTTTAACTGAGTAATTTTTGTAAATGTGAGACACTTGCTGTTGCCTGTCGTCGCCAGGTCTCCCTTGAAAAATAGGTTTTTAATCTCAATGGGATCTTCCTGGTTAAACAAAATAATAATAATTATTGGCAGAAATAGCCTTCGGAACTGCTGGAGCCTTAAAGTTCTGCCTGCGGATCAAACATGTTTCTACACACATTCACCTGTGTGGGCTTCTGTGTTTGTGAGTCTGACACAGGTGTGTGTGCTGCTGACTTATAGATGTGAACTTGACCCCAGAGCGGGCCGTTAGCTGCGGTTAACGGACAGAGCGTGACTTTAACGGCGGTTTGGCCTCTACATTTAGCGGCTGAGCTGTGAGAGAAACACCAGGTGCTGTTGCTCGCCTCACCGGAGCTCACCTAAAACCTGTGGAGAGGAATTAGCTGATCTGTAAAAACTAAACTTTGTAAAACTAATGCTAACAACAGCTTGTGGGTTAGCATTGCGCTTAATTAGCACGAGTGTTAGCAAGCGGAGGTGACCTTACAGTTAGTAACAGGTGTGTCTGTTTTAAGCCGTGAGCGTCTCCCGGTAGGACGTTCAGATACAGGTAAGCGTGGGTGACGTATTATAACTGAACAGGTGAACTGTGGAAGCTAACGTTAGCTGTGAGCGCTGCTTTTTTTGCGCGGACACAAAATGGCGGGCCAGCGCCGCTTTAGCACAGGGCGAAATTGGAAATTTCCGTGTTACCTGCGGAAACTGAGAGCGCTCACAGACTGTGTTGAACACCACGAGGCCACTGAGGCCTCCTCTTAAATTCGGCTGACCTTTGAACCACGAAGCGAGATTAATTAAATTTTTATCTGCGTTTCCGGCTCAAAGACGGGAGATATGTGTGAGTTAAACAGCTGTGTAAATGAACAGGGTCGCGTGTGGGCTCTTTGAAGAATGCCGATATGAAGGCAGACATCAAGAAGTGGCAGTTTTACCGGAGCTGCTGCTTTTTCCGCTTTCCGTGCTGAATGAAGCTTTTTATCCTTTTGAATCAGGCGGCAGGTGAACAGGGTCCGGCATCCAGAGGCAGATGGAGTCATCAGAGCCAGGCTCGTTTCGCCCCAGAGGAACATCCACGGTGTCCCTGCACGAGCGGTGAGTTACCATGACCTCCTGCGTCCTGCAAAGTTAAAGGTCAGGGACACTGTGCTGACGTTCCCTCCTCTCTCTGCCGGCAGCTTCTCCAGAGTCCTGGTGGAACAGCAGACCTGCTCCAGGTTGCATCAGAGGGCATCTGCTGCCCTGCCCGTGGTCCTGCTGATGAAGTCAGCTCCCTTATCGCTGCTTCTTCCACAGGTGAGTCCCAGAGGGGTCACAGGTCACCTGTGAAGAAGGGCGGCCCAGGTGTTCATCGGAGGACCACCGGCCTGCTCGTCTGACACGCTGCAGCCGCCACGTGGAGTTGAAAACAGTGAAACCATCCCTGGCGCGATGGGGTCGTGAGGTGTTTGTGGGACCAAACCAGTGTGAGGTTTTGTTCGACATCCTCGTGAAATCAAACGACAGCGAGTCTGAAACTCTGTCGCAATCTTCTTCCCTCTCTGGTATAAACATGCACGCTCAGCGCAGGTAGAACAGTGTCTGGTTGGGGGGCGGGGTTAATGATGCATTTGGTGCAGAATTCCATGGCAACCTGTACTGGATAGTTACGATAAAGTCATTTTTGCCATCGTACGTGGAAAACCCGCGGTGCATCGAGTGCATTCGTTATATCGCCCACACGGGTCACCGCTGCGTCATCATAAGGGTTCTCAGCATGTGCACACTCGTCCGATTTTACAATGGATGGCGAGCTACTGCACCGTAAAAGCGAGCTGCTGTGTCTCTGTGTTGCAGGCTGCCGGGAGCTCTGAGAGGGCGGAGCATCGTCACCTGAGGAGGAAGAGGAGCGTCTGGACTCGACTCGGCTGGCAGCGGGTAACTCGCCGCCCGTCAGCCTCTGCGCATCAAGGCTTCTGGAGCTTCATGAACAAATACAGGTGGAGAGCGCGGGTCGGCTCCACCTGCAGGCGTGAGTATCTGAAACACGGGGCGCAGTGGGCGGGGCAGCAGTGTGTGGCCTTCTTCGCTAGACTGAAGCTGCAGTAGAACTCTCACCTGTGCTCCACCTGTGCGTGCGTTTCCTCTGCAGGAGCAGTAGGTCTGAGCGGTCGACTCGGGAGGCGGAGCCAGCTGAGACCGCTGACCTCAGGTGAGTTTCTCAGCACAGCTTCATGCTGAGCTGTGGAGAAAAGGTTGGTGCGATTTGGCCTGTTAGGCGGGGTTAGGAGAGCTGCGCTCTGATTCGTGCATCTGATGGCACAGCTACTGTCTGCCAGTTAAATTCAAAGACGTTTAAATACAGCTGGAGGGCTGACCGCCAGGGGGGCGTGTCCCAGTAGCTCGACTAAGCTGACCCCTACTGAGTCAGAGCTTTGAAATCTCCCCTCCTCAAAGGTTAAAAGTTTAGAGGTCAAAGGCCCTTTGCCAGAGGCTAACGGTTGCTCTGGTGCACTGGCTGTGTCCCAATTCAGGGTCTACAGCCTTGACGGTGCTCAAGCACCACTAAGAAGTGCGAGGCCTGTGAAATGCAACCGTGACACCAACTGCTGGAAGCGTTTCAGACAGCTTTATTTGAAAGAAAGGAAGGAGAAAATCTTTTGTTCATGTG